AATATTTATTATACATGTATATGTATAGATTTTTAAGTTTTAATAATTATATTAATAATTGAATTACAATGCGCGCATATTGAATATGTTAAAATAAAATAAAACTATACACGCGCGTGCGCAGATAAATGATATATATACTGTAAATAATATCGTACATTTCAGATTTCGATCAACGATCTCACGCGCGCGCATTTTCAACAGCAAATTTATGGTTTACGATATTTTGTGCCACATGTCAATCAAGTGGATAAACTACTTGAAAAGATTCTCGCAATTTCTCATTATATTATATACATATATAATACAATATTATACATAATTGAAAATCAATCGATTGCTAAATAAAGTTGCAATCTTCAAGTAAAACTCACCTGATCCAGACGCTACGCCGCGCTCGATCCTGTCCCCTGTACGTCGTTGGTACGTCGTTGGTATCCCACGGCTCTTGTCGGACAGAAATACACTCTTACGGATATGTTTCGAGAGAAATAATTCGCGCACTCGATATGTAAACGAACTCGGGACGGATTCACGCGCCGCGACATATCAACCAACAGGAACGAACGGCGAACGTTGACTGCGCCTGACCGTGTAAATTCGTAAGACATGCCGTAGCGCGAGAACGAGAACGGACAGGTGGGGTGTAGGTGGGGGTGGAGGTGGAACGCGCACGCGCGGCCGCGTAATCGTAACTGCCCGCGACTCGCGACGCATTTGAATCGCGACGGCCGATATTTTTTCTCGCACGTCGACAGACAATAACATGGCCGTATGCACATTGAGTTTGAAAAAAAAGGATGTAAACATTTCCATCGCGCGTGATAAATGTAGCGAACGAATTTATTTTTACTTGGACGCGGTATGTTGTCGTAACGTCTCGTCGATCCTTTCGCCATTGTTGTACGTACTAGATAATCGCTCGCTTTTAACAGACCGTCCAATAAATCGCAGTTACGATCGCGCGTACGATAATTTACGCGATACGATGATCGCTCGTGATTCTACACAACATTCGCGACATTTAGATTGCACGCACATTTAAAACGCAATAATAACACGTAAATACGAGACACCGCGAGAATTACGGCACTGACCACCGTCTGAACGCTTCGGACGTAAAATATATAGATTGGTTATAATTGAGAGAGCATTGCTAATTTCATGCCACACATTTCGCGCGAAAATTCAAATTATGCATGCATAGAGAGAGAATTTAAAGATTAATAATACACAACAAAAAATATCTCGCATAATATATTCATAACATCTCGATGATATACATATAGTATTTTTATACTCATTATTATGAGAGACAAATGATTAGAAGATTCGATGTGTGTAAAAAAGAATAGAGTACATGATCCTAATTAAAAAATTATAATCTTCGAAAGTTTTACGTTGATCCTTACTACTCTGTTACTAGTCTCCATTGAAATATATTTATGTAACGAGATAGTTTATATACGCGCGAATAATTTTCTCTATATTCAAATATTTCAAATATTTATTTAAATTGCTTATTTTAAATATATACATATCCTCATTTTGTATATTTAAACATAAAATTGCAATAATAAGAAATAATTGCTATTGCTAATTTTTATTTCTTCAACACGATTGTTATAGAGAATCGTTGTGAATTAATACGATTATCATTTTACGATTATCAATTTTAAATTGTTATTACGGGAGACAATATAATTTATACATTGTTTGATTTGTAATTAATTAAAAATATTGCAAAAGATATTACTATACAATTAAAATGTCACTATAAAAAATAATTGTCATTTTTTAATATAATTTGGCTAACACATAAGTTAAGATAACCGAATTAACATCTTAAATTATAATTTCGAAATTAAATCAGAATGTCAAATATTAAAATGTATACATTTTGCTTCAATGCGTTATAAACTTTTGTGCATATATAGTTGACGAATTATGCAATATTAATCGGAAAAATAGAAAATAATAATTTTACAAATTTTAATTATTATTTTTTTAATTATTTATTTCTAACTTATAATTATATATAAAAGCATTCGGTGATTTTGGGAAATCTTGTACAGTAAATCAACGTGTGGAAATGATTGGAAGAATAATGTAAACAGAGATTCTCTCGCACACATACAAGATGCGAGGAATGTGAAATTCTCTAATTATATTTTTCAATATAAGCTTTTGGCAGTACATTAAATATATTTGCAAATGTATTATGGCGATGTATATATGTATGTGTGTGCGTGTTAATTAAGAACCTCGAGTAATTGAAATATTAATAAAGTATATAAATTCTCTCTTAGTTGTGCCCTATAATATCGCATGTGGATTGATACAATTAATTGCACGAATAACATATTCGTTTGCTAATATATATTAGAAATGCAGAAAATTATCGTAATTTTATTTCGATAAACCTGGCATATTAAACATAAAAATTTTTATATAATTTATTTTTAATTCTATTGAAAATTACAAGTCAAACAAAATTTTGTAAATATATTAAAGAGAAATTATAACGTTCATAATTATACATTAATTATTTCACAATTATTTATTGAATATATTTCGATAAATTCCGATTAATTGCATAATTAAAATTAATCGGCATTGATACATTGAAAACATATTTTACATGAAAGACTTAGAATCATTAAAACATTTTATTTGTCATATTTATACAGAGTGCGTATTTTGAAAAAATAAACCCGAATTTATTGCAAATCTGACGTAAGTTATTGACATCTTTTTCAATTTCATTCCTGCAAATCAAACAGATACAGCTGATTCACAAATATTATAGAAAGTTCCGTGATATCAATACGAGACCTGTCTTTGTGCGAATAATCCACAAATATTATACTTATATATGTATATAATAATAATAATAATGATAAAATAATAGTAATAAAATAATAATATATAAATACTTAGACTCACAATACGTATGCATCTTAATATTTGGTGTGAATCACGTTTAAGATTACTACAAATCGCGCGCGGTGCGTATTATGATATTAAGGACAAAACAACGAAACGAGAACAAGAAATTAAAAAGAATACTAATTATTAAGAAATTCGCGAATTAAATTCTAAAAGTCGGAATTTCACGAATAAACAAATGACAAGCGAATAAATCACAGTAACGACATTATTTATATTATTTCACGAGTAACCGACCTACACTCAATGTCAATAAAATTATATACACAATTTGTCGATAAATACCATACGAGCGCGTTACAAAAATCGTAATTGGAAAATCGTTGCACTAAAGTGAGATTATAGATTATTAACAATCGAGTGACAAAGGGCGCGATATTACAATAATGTTTACGATTTTCTTAATTAAGTTGAGTCAAGAAAGACTTGACAGAATCTTTATATACTCCAAAAAAATTTAATTTGTAATATTGCTAAGAAATCTTTTTTATCTCTTTACTATTTCTGAAATTTTCAAAAATTTCAAATTATATTTTATATTATATTTTATATTTTGTTTTAACTGTTTAAATGTAGAGAATTAAAACACATTAACACATATTTCATGATAATAAATATGATCTCTATAATAAATATGAAAATATCAAAGTAATTTTGTGCGCATTTGTATGATGTTTATGTGTTGTAAGCATAATTCTTTTCATGAAAATATATTTTTTTCGTTAATTTAAGTTTATTTTGAAATTAATTAAGTTATACTTTTCACTAATTTGATAAAAATGACTGTCAATTCTTATCTTCACTTTATCAACATCTATAAAAATAATTTTAATAATATTTCTTTTCCTTTTGCAATGTATGCACTTGTTAGTCAATCTATCAGTGTTACATTTTATTGATAGAATATGATCCCTTTATAAAAATAATTCTCTTCTGATCTTTTCTTGAGCACAAGTTTATAGTTAATAAGCACTACATTTATGAAACATTTTAAAATCGCCTAATTCATCGCCCTTTGTCTAAAAATTCTTATATTAATATCAATCTTCTGTCTTTCTAAAATTGAAAAGTTTAGTCTTCCTAAATTTTTAATCCACCTTTCCTACTTCTTAATTCTTTCAATCTTATATTTCACCTATCAAGAAATATATCTTGTAGTTTAAAGAGCATTCCTACTTAAGACAAACTTAATTTAAAACAAAATATCCAATGAATAATATAAACAAGCACACTAGAGACTTTCTCTCCAAATAAAATTATCTCTTGAAATTTCTTTCGCGTCATGAAACCGAAAAGATTGATAGAATATTTCATTTATATGCATTTTACCTATAACTAGATTTATGCAAACATTCGATACAAAATAATCTACTTAAATGCATTTGGCATGTTTTGTTCTTAATTCGAAGCCCGTTTCAACTTCTATCATTATTATTACTCTCACTATCAAAATTACCACTCTATTATTTCAGTAATATTTTGTTATAAATCAGTTTTCAATCCCGATTCAGAATTAATTGCATCAATATCGGTTAGCATTATAATTAAGATTAGTTATATATTTTTTTATTCTTACATTCTATAATTAAGAATATTTCTAAAAAGGGACGTATTGCAATCGGGAATATTGTTAGCAGATCAAAATTCCCGAAAATTAACACTGGTAAGTGTAATTTTTGCATGTATAGGATATTTAATCCGGTTTCGTTAGTTTTTTTTATTAAAATTCTCGCACTTTATCATTATGTATGTCTTTGGTCTCTGTTAGCTATTTAGTTTTCAACAGCAACAGGAATTCTATGAGAATATATGCGCATTTGAAAAGTCTTGCACTCAAATTATTTCATTATATGTATTATCTATAAAGTTTGAAGATCTTTTTCTGTCTCAATAGAATCAATAAAAAAAATATTATAACTATATTTTATAAAATTATATCTTACAATCATTTTACAATTACTTTACATATTTATTAAATATTTTCTATTATAATTTAAGAAGAAAAAAAGATTATTGTACAAAATGATTTTTCTTAAAATTAAAGTTTGCAATACTTTTCGTTGGAGCTGTTGATATCTCTAAATTTGAAAATTTAAAATCTCTAAAAATTGTGAGACTCAAAAGATTAAATAGATTTAATAAATCATCTTTTTTTTCTACGATTCAATTTTTACTTTAGTTACTTTCCCATAACTTTAGATGCAATTTAATAGAATTTAAAATGATGCAAAATCTCTTCGCGCATATAACTATAATAGTCTTCAATTTTGATGAAACTTGCCTTTCCGATCATTTTACATCGGAGAGCACTGACCAGTTTTTTAATTACTTTAACCAACATTATCTTTGCAATTAACGCTTCATTTTTAAAGCAATTACATTGAACTTTGGTTTCTGCCACGCATCTGAATGTTTGCATATCCTCGGCACTAATCACCTTAATCCCTTACCATTTATCACTTTATTCTGTTTGCATTCACTAAAACACTCGGTTTCACATGAACATTCTGTCTGTTGGATTTGCTTCTACTTGCGACTGTTGAAGCATCAATTACCGATCTTCTGCTCTTATCTAATCTCTCCTTCTCTGCTTCTTCTCCGTCCCTTCTCTTACTCTCAGACTTCTGGGCGCGACTCATTGACTTGCACGCGATCCTCCCAGTTTTTGCCTCGCCTTCGTACGTCTTCCTTAATGGCTGCGGCGTATAAAATAAGCTGAATCGTTTCGTTCGCGTCGTTGGCTTTTGTCTCACTTCATCGCGCAATTCATCCGTTGAACTAAACTTCCGCGTCGTAACTTTGTCGGCGCTGCGTACCTCTTCAGGCGATCTTTTTGACGCGCACGGTGAATAGCAACTGTATCTTTTGCTCCTGACATTTCTGGAATCTATCGGACTTTTCCTACTAATATATCTTTCATGCCGCAGCTTTACCAATTCGTTCTTCATATATTTGTCTGTTTCTTGAACTCTTAGATTTTGGCAGTTCTTCTTGTCAGACTGAATGTCCAGCTTGGGTGACCTCAACGCATTTAGCGCAGTTGAATATTGTATTCGGGTCTGTAACGTCTTTGCGGAGAACTTATTCTGATCCTGATTAACTGTGAGTTTCGAAGAAATTTGCAGAGGACGATCCACAAGACAATTATTTTGGTGCACGTATTGGAAGCTCACATTCTCGAAGCTATCGGTCGACTCCATGCTTTGCGTCGAGCTTGATTTTTGTCCGCGTGCCAAACGCGCGAATTGAATATTTACGAAACTATCGGAAGTCTCGATATCGTTGCCAACTGAACTGTCACCGGTTAAGCTGTCGCTCGATGTTGATACGGTCGTGTTGCTGTTGCGAAAGTCATCATTGTTGAACCTACTCTCACGATTCAAATCGCGCAAATTTTTTCTATTGCATTTACTTTGTCGATTTGCGGCGGCAAGTTTACTCGATAACTTGGGTGTCTCGCAGTTCAAGTCGAGATTTTTTGTTTCCTTCGGCGACTTTTTATGTTTTTCGTCGTTTCGATGGTTAATGGGAGTTGCAACAGTCTTTACAATGACTTCATCACAATGAATAGATGAACTACTATGATAATTACACGTGTTTAAATTTTCCGGAATGCTATTGAGCGATGAAGTAGCACTTTGCGACTTGAGACGACATCGAGGCATTTTGTTGTCATTCAAATTATCTATCAAATCGTGCATCGATCGGCTTAAACTGTGAATATTCTTCAGACAATCAAAACTAAGAAACACCGGCTCATCCTCATTGTCATTACTGTTGGCGAAATCGATCTCGTCGCGATCCTGTTTATTTTGCTGTCTCGGGATGTCGATAAGTTTCAATGCATCGCGATGATTGACGTCCTTCCATTCAACTCTTGTTTTGACATGATCGTTCTCCTGCCGTTGACTGCGTTGCTTCTTAAAGTCGAATTCAAAGGTAGCCAATCTTATCGGCTTACACTGCTGATTCCGGTATTGCTCCGTCGATGCGTCGGTGGTTGTTGCTGTTGCGGTTTGCTCGCCTCCTAGAAAGCTCTGCTGATATACAGAGGCGGGGCAAAAGAAAAGAAAAAGCACTGCTACAGATACAGCAAACCACTACGGAAGCTTCCTTAGTCTTGTAATCGAAATGAAGCTGATGAAGTGCAAGGAGAAATGCGGATAGGTTTTCGCTCACACCACGCTCGTAACATAAAAATTCCACCCAGTATAAGACGCGAACAAAATTTCAAAACGAATTTAGAAAGAGACAAAGAGAGAGAAAAAGAGAGAGAGAGTGAGAGAAAAAGTGTTTTTTAAATTATAAAAATGATTATATATCTTTTCAAAAAATGTATATATGTGACTGTGTGTATATATACACATTTATATCAGATTGCCTCATAAAAAATATCATTTTTGTTATTTTTGAATATCATTTGTGCAATAAAAACATGTATTTCCAAATAACTGAATTTTTCAAACGAAAATTTAATTAATAATTGACAAATATAGCGTATGCTGTATATAATAATTAATAATATATATTTTATTAAAAGTAAAAGTTTATATGTGCATCTTATCATTTTAAATTATCTTAAAAACAATATTAATATACTAGTAACTAGATATGCTGTGAATATTTCATCTTTTTATGTAGCGTGACGTAACGAACTGGCAGAAGAAATCGTGCTTAAAATAATAAATGCGATAGCAAATATTTTACATAGGCAAAAATTACCTGATATTGATTTTATTTTCGACTACTACGAGAGAAATGACAAAAAAATTTTAAGCCATGCGGGGGTACAGGCAACGCGGCAAAATTGAGTTTTCTAACTCATAAGATACAAAAAAATAATATTGTATACTAGTGACAGTTACCGCGAGCCATGGATGATCCAACACATCCTCGGCACTGAAGCGAAGTTCCGGTTGTGCTTGTAGCATGTTTGAAATTAGTTGCTTCGCCGAATCAGATACCGTGTCCCAATATGGTGACGTAAATTCATACTGGCCACTCAGAATACGCTCAAATAGTTCCTCCTGTTCATTTTCTACGGATACGAAAGGTGGAAAGCCACACAGAAGAATATATAGAATCACTCCGGCCGCCCATACATCAATCTGAAAACAAATAAGATTTATTTTAGATATATAAAATGCTTCGAAGAAAAAAAAAATCCGTAATCTACTATGCATTAAATAATATGTTTAAATTGCGAAATAAAAAAATCCTATATCTTATTCTTTTCAAATAAATATTTCTTATATAAGAAATTGAATTAATTTAGATAAGTTAGTAGTTTTATCCACCATGCTTAATTAGTAGAATTTATTAAAATAAATAAATATACCTTCAAACCATATCCAGTTTCGGCGAGAATTTCCGGTGCCACATAAGTGGGAGTGCCACAAACAGTATATAAAGGTTCTCGCACTACTTGCGCGAGTCCAAAGTCGCCCAGTTTCAAGCATCTAACGTGACTACCATCCATCTCAACTAAGAGATTCTCCGGTTTAACATCACGGTGTACAATGTGATGCGAATGCAAATAAGCCAAGGCGGAAGTCAGATGACCAATCATCACACTTGCCTCTGCTTCAGAAAATTTCGTCGCAGCTGCGATTGCGTCAAACAAATCTCCTCCCTAAAAAACAAATAGTGTTATAATTCGTGTAAGTTTCTTTAATTGTTATGCTAATGTTGTGTGTTAATTGAATTAAATTGAATTAAATCATAAATTAATAATTTATGAGTAATTTATGAGTAATTTATTAACTTATGAGTAATTGAATTAATCATGAATTAAATATAAGCTCCATTAAACTCTATGTAATTTTAATAATACACCTTGACAAGTTCCATGACTAGGAACAGCTGATCAGTAGTCTCTTGCTCCGCAATCAAGCTGATTATGTTGGGATGGCAGACTTGCCTCAGAATCGCCACCTCGCTTGCTAGCATTGTCTCTTTTCCCTGACACTTGTATTTATCCACAATTTTCATAGCATATTCAGCACCAGTAGATCTAGAATATCATTAACACACAATTAACACGTGTGTTTTGTACACACGCATACATACATATATATTCTTAAATTTAAAATTAAAAGTCAAGTTGAAAAAAATATCTTTAAGATTAAGATAATAAAGAGACTTGAGATAAATTATATAGTCATCTTCTTGAATTTAAATTAAAGGTTTCGTAATTTGTGTATAAAAAAATGTATATCTACTAGTATATATATTATATTTATATAATTATATACTCACTTGTGAATGCAATGCCTAACGACGGCAAAGTTTCCGTCTCCAATGACATGTCCCACAGTGTAATGTAATCTCAGTGGTTGAGGCAATATCAAGGACGACGGACTAGGTGTCCTAACTTGCGGCGTGGTGAGCATCTTCTTGCCAGACTTTTTCGGCATACGCGGCATCGGGCCGCTCTGTCGTTTAGAGCTCCATGGACATCGCCGAAAACTCTGCACGCATTTGCTCTCCTCGAAGTCTAACTCAAAATCCTCCTGTATAGACTTCTCCGGACCATACGCCACGAAGATATCGTCGTTGTCGAAAAATTGCTCGAGCGAAGTGATATGCTGGCCCGACAATGTATACACTTTTCTAACCGCTCCAGAGTCAAGTTTCACCGCTTCGGTAATCGCCTCCATCGCATGCTCGAGACTCGGGGCGTTACGTTTGTTCAGCAACAATCTCATGACTTTGCGCGGCTTGGTACCGTGGCGGATCAACGTCACGATGCGCGCTTTCACGCACAGCGGAATGGCGCTGATCTGCCTACCGGTACCACCGCTACTACTGGCCGCCGGCGACTGCGGCAGTCCGGACAAAGAACTCCCTCGGCGAACCTTGGACGCCGAATATTCGACTTTTTTGAAGATCTCACCTTGGCCGGATACCACATAGCACTTGCCATCCTCCAAGTCGCTGACGCTCTGCACCTTACGGCCGTCCATGGTATAGATCGCGCGAACACCGTTCGGTAGAGTTACACTCGACATCAAGGCACGGGTGAGATCGGACGCGAGACTGTCGAAGCTGCGATATCTTTCCGGTGTCACTGCCATTACCACGCCTGTGTAGTATTTATCTCCATTGCGGAAAAATCGGACTCTTTTGGCTTTTTTAGTGGGCGGTGTTCGAAGAACGTTTAAAGTGTGTCGCGATGTGATGTCCAATATCCTTTCATCCAGACTCATTATGGTAGACGAATTGAGATCACCGCTACTGTCTGCTGAAAAGTTGCCAGTGCTAGACGGCGAAGCGCCTTGATTCAGTAGATCTTCCATTCTGTAACATACGCGTTCTTCTCATTAGTACAAAACTATTATTACATTTACATTAGTACATAACTATTATTTCATATCACTACAAATATATCTACTTTTAATATAATTCTAGCATAACAGAATATATCTTCTTTTTAAACTAAGCCATTCTTATTAAACTAATATCTATAAACTATTATTTCATATTCATCTTTAATGTAATTAAAAATTACCAGTATAATTATATTTATAATTAGTAAAGGAGAATAATTGCTATATAATAATACATTTATAGAAAGAAGATGAATTTGTTGAGCCAATATTGTTAATATAATTATTTTAAAAAATGACTATAATTCACTATTTTCCAATACAATAATTTTGACATAATTTAATATTTGTAATAAAAATATCTTAATCAATGTTATTATCACAAAGTATGGCATGTTTAAAAGTGTATAAATACACTATCTTAATCAATCTCCGGCATTTATATCTTTAATATTATTTACATGTACATACATTCTCCTTTCCCTCTCTCTCTCTCTCTCTCTCTTTGCCTCTTCTTCCCTCTTACACATATATTAATTATAAAATAATAAGATTATAAATTGTACCAGACTGCATCGTTACCTACAATTCTATTCGTTACAAAGTCACTCGAAAACTCTCTCTCTATCACAAATTTTTACTGTAAATAAATTAGGCAAATATTCTATAGAATGGCATTCCAGCTTTTTTACACCTTCATCAGCAGTAGTATGAGTCATACGTTAGAAAGTGCACTTGACAGGTGCAATGAAAACGGAGTATCATCCGATATCTATCGAATCGCTATCGATTGCCAAAAGTATACAAATGTTGACCCGCGTCTAATGTTGGGGATTATCACAAGAAGAGAAACAGGGAAAACGGGACAAGATGCTGCGACGACAGAATGCACTTAACCTGCTCGTTGTTAGCAGGTCGGCGATCAACGATCGCCAAATACAAGATATTGTTCAATGAGTGCGCATCCATTCTCACTCACCTGCTCGTAAGCCGAGCAAGACACGATCGATCGTCCCGGTGACACGAGACGAGAAGAGAAGCTAGTTTACACGCGCGCTATAAACCAAGCGTAAATCACCACCAACGAGCTTGAGCGAGCTGACATTTTCCTCGTAGCGACTCAAGTGGCTGCTTGAACATGACATATAAAATATATAGACGAAATTTACTTCTTCTTCTTCAGTTCTTTTTACAGAGTAGAAGACTGCGATTCTGACATCTGATTCACCAATCGGGACAAAAGGAGTAAAAATTTCTTTAATCTGATTGGTCGATCAAACTCTTCAAAGCATCTAGAGAGCCTCTCCGACCATAGCTATCGATATCCAATAGAAAACTTTTGTTTCTAGTTACTAGGAATAAACTTTTCTATTGGATATCGAGTATTGTATGTGGACAGTGGACCAATTACAAGTATATAACCAAACAGAAATATTATGACGTTTTCCAATCGAGGTAGTTTAATAGACCCATGGAAGAATCACAGTCATTCTAAAGAAAGTAACCATACATTCTTCAGAAGAATGACTGTGATTGGTCAATGACATCTAGTAACCTACCCCGCGTCGATCAAACTTGACTATTCGAAAACGTTATTGGTATATTATTGGCTATGGAGACGCTGAGGATGCTTTGAAGCGTTTGATTGACCAAATCAGGACAAAAGGAGTAAAAATTTCTTTAACCTGATTGGTCAATCGAACGCTTCAAAAAGCTTCTGCTGATGGTTTACTCCGTAAGATGGCGCCAACAGTGTCACAAAATTCCCGCGTAAAACAATACCACAAGCGCGAACATATTCGATGTTCGATGGTGATATTCAAACGCGGCAATGGATCGTGTGTCGTGTGTCAGTGGTTTCGCCAAATCGCGAGAGATTAAAAATTACATCGATTATGCGCTTATCGACATACATTTTTTACATATTAATAAATGTCTTTCGTTTAAAGTGATGCAAGCTATTAGGATTGATGCGACATCAATCGCATTTCGAGATAACTTTTTTCGGGTGTTTTATTCCGGAAATACATCGAAATTTACACATCATATATAGACATTGGAATTTTGTTTCCTGAATATAATCGATTGTGTTTATTATAGTGAATATTAATTTAGTGACATAATCACTACGAGTTTATATACAAGTTTTCCGGAGCATTATTCATACGTGTATGTATGGAGCATTTGCGGTTTGAAAAAATATTCCAACCAGGTAAAGTGCAGACTGCATATTTTTGTTTTTAAAATGAGAAAAGGCTAAAATGTATAATTGCATAACGATTGTTTGTATTGATCTAAATGTTTCGCATTTTTTATTAATTTAATCAATAATAGGATGAAAACATTTCGATGATCGAGAGCAAATGCGACATTCATCGAAAAAAAAATTGCAAATCAATTATCTCAACAGAGGGCAGCAAAATATCATCACGGAGGAAAAATTTTTCCTCCTTTTCTTTGCGCGCATTACTCGTAATTCAAACGAGCAAAAATATCGAAACTTTTCATCCTTTATACCGTAAAGGAAGCAAAAATATTATTTTGTTATGTTGGCGCTCAATCGAGTGATCTCGATACTAGACGATTATTTTCCTTTAATTTTGATCAAAAGAGCTTAAGAGAGATACTTTAGATCTTGTAGTATTTATATATACTATACTTAATTGTTCACTATCGTTTCCTTTCTGTTTGTATATAGTTTTTAGACAAATTATTTTTCTCCCCAGTTTTGACAAACTTTTTCATTGAGAATCTATACATATGCAATTATAACGATTCAGACATTGTTACATGTATAATGCTACTAGTTTTACGTAGACGTGTACTTTTCTTTTTGCACAAGAAATATGAATCCACAGAATCTACACGCTCTCGAGTTACGCAAGATGTTTGTATCATTTCGGTTAACGATAATAAGAGATCGAGAAAATTGCTCGTTTCTCCACTTATTCGTATATGGCGCGCATAAGTAGGCAAACAGGCAGGCAGGGTAACCGTGATTATGCCAACTCACACAATGATATTTTACAGTAACGAGAGTAAAGGAGAGGAAGGAATTCGACCGAGCGAGATGGCGACGATTTTGCGCCTCCTCCTCCGCCTCCGCCATCGCGAGCGGTGGTAGTGGAATGGCGGTGGCCGTGGCGGTGGCGGTGGTGGTGGTGGTGGTGGTGGTGGTGGTAACGCGCAGCAGTTTCGTTTGGCGTTCGGCGAGCGTTCGACGTCGGTCGAGTTGATGTCGGTTGTCGGTCGGTGTACGCGCGCGCGTGAGTGTAGAGGTGAAAGAGTGGAGGTCGGGAAAGAAAATTCGAAGCGGGAAGCGATCTTTTGGCGCGATCGAAAAAGTGAACGAGAAAACGGAGAAGAATCCAGCGGCAGAATGCTGAATGCGTAAAAAAAGAGAGGAAAGCGACGAAAAGTAGGAGCGACGAGAAAGATCCGGAGGCGGAAAATGCGGTCGCGACACGTCGTAGCAGGTGAGTCAGGTTCCCCACCGAGTCATCGCGGTCGCCATCGTTATACGAGCGTCGCTGAGCCACTGTCGCGGACAACGCGGACTCCGAATACTCGAGAATATCTGGACGCGAATTGTATTTTGGAGTAGAAATTTTCGAAATCATTTTAATCAGTTCACGCATATATGTACATATATATGTATACATACATTCTGACTCGAGATTATAATCCTTACATGTGAATCTTGAAGATATATATATATATATATTTTATATATACATATATATATATATATACATATATATATATATATATATATATATATATATATTTATATATTTTTTTTTCCGAAATATAATTCTCAAATATATTTCGATTCTAGATCCTTGGATTCTCGGTAATTACAATGGATCAAAATATAACGATCCGCACGCAATTGTGATTTATAGCGAATATAACGCGCTAACTCGAGTAATCTCCTTGTTTAATTTGAGTATTCTCTTGTTTATGCGAATATTTCGTTTCGTAAATTATATTAAAATTCTCACACACCTATTATAAACATTTAAACGATAGAATATTGCAAATTGAAAATATCGAGATGAAAAATCGTGCGATGAGTAATTTTTGGAACGAGAGGACGTAGATAAATTTGTAACAAATTCATCCTTGAAACAAAGTGTTCCGTATATCTTTCATTTTTACCTGCTACATTGTTATGGAGAGAGCGCATCGTTATGCTCCCAAGATAGTCTGGCATTCCGATCCTAATCAATGGAGAAGCCCTTTTGTCAGTGTCGACACACAAATTACAAAAGCAATATAGAGAAATGTTAGAAAACGACATTTAAAAGCATTGTTTTTCAAAGACTAAAATTTTTTTGTCAATTGGAATTAAATAAAAGAGACGATAAAATTGGAAGAAGAATTAGACAAAGAGAAATAAAAGAGAAATTTGGAGAAAATAAAATTGGAGTTGAAAATTAATACATTTCTAGGTCCCTATTTTATTATTTAGCTTTTATATTTTTCTGTATCTCAAATGTGACGAGTATCGGCAAAAATTTTTACAATTTTTTACCATTGCGCGATTGACTTTGTTCGATTATATTCAGATATTGTTCGGTCCTATATAGTGTTCTATGCATCTCGGAACACGATAACGAGACGGAGCATGTTGAATCTATTGAAATCTCCCGCGAGTGAGTTCGATACCAGATGCTACGATGAGAGAAGAAAACTTTCTCTTACGAGTCAGCGTTGTATGATTGAATTTTATTACATTAATATTTACAAATATTTTTGTACATTTACATTATTATTTCATACATTAGTTGTGTAGTATTAATTTCTGTAATAATATATATATATATATATATATATATATATATATTTATTTATTTATTTATTTATTTATTCATTCAATATTTATATTTATTGAAAATTTTTAACACATTTTAGACACATTTGAATGTACTTTAACAAGTCTTCTCTCTTCGTTTTTAATTATATTTCTAATTATTTAATTGTTTATTTTAATTGTTTACAAGGACATTCTCAAATTACATTTTTTTAAGAGTTGTTGTCTAATAATTACTTATTTATATTATCTAAAGGAAAAAATTTGTGACTAGAAAATTATAACAATACTACAAAATAATTTTATGTATAAATGATAGAGTTTTTTAATGAAATATGCGATAAAGCAGTTGGGCTTTTTCTTTTTATAATGTATCATAAACAATGATTGATAAGAATAAAAAATTCAGATTGCGTGCGATGCGATTAATCGGAGCACGTACTGTGTTTGACAACAAATCCTGCGATAGACGTCCAAAAAATGGAGCTTGAGGTCGAAAATAAAATGGCAGAAAAAATATTTTTATTACATCTCTACTTATTAACCATATCTTTTTTAAAAAGGAGAAACAATATTAATTCACCATTTGTAACATCATGTAACGGAATATTATCTGTTCTTATCACCTAGAGTTGGAAACAATCTTGAAAAATCAAATATCACGCGAAATATCACGAAATTTATTTGAATAACTTATTTGAAAAAAATTTAAACAATTTTTAATATTTAAGGCATTTTGAGAATTACAAATCACTACATACAATACCATTAAATAATGATTGTCATTTGATATCGACTCTTGTGAATATTGTCGCACTCATAAATCTCAATTTCATTATTGAAAAATGTTGAATTACTTCCAATTGTCTACTACATGTATGCGAATTATGATGAGAAATCATTAACGATTAAAATTCGAGACTCGAGCTAAACGGAAGAAACGGAATAATTAAATCCGCGATTATGTCATCGAATCCTTGAAAGCATGATATAATCGCATTGTTCTTAAAGAATCTTGATAATTTTGTTATCGAATGGAAAAAGAATTTATCTATGTCTCACGGAGACTTGTGTATATCCGAGCTTTCTTCTTATATTCTCTTGTATCAAAAATTATATTTTATTTTTTTTTAATCACATTACATGACATTATTTTCATATAATTTAATAATATTACAATAAGAAATAAAATTACAATTATTCCTTTGCTATTCGCGTGATTTAACAATAAAAATTTTTAATTGCATTTACAGTTTATATATATGCACATGTGCACGCACGCACACACACGTACACCGGGGGGAGAGGGGGGGCGGGACGGTGCCCCACACACATACACTTATACATTACAAATTCTTAATTTATATTTTTGTACCAAAATAAATTTCTTTTTCAAGAAATTTCTTTTTACATATTTCTATGGAATTTGATAGAATCTTATATTTTCTAATTAGAATCCACTTTTAAAAGCAATAAACACTCACAGATGCGAATAGCAAATTCAGGTGAAACATCCGGTAAACATCCGGTGACTTTCTCGTACAGTTGATAATGCACTCGGTACGGCTTTTTCCCGACTCGGAATTTTTATTCAGAAAAAAAAGAACGCAGCTTTTTTCTTTATTCCTGAATAAAAAATTTAATAAAAATATCGATCGTTACATGTCGCAAGCGAGATATTCTTCTCTTCGTCTGAATACGTAGCTGCGAGTGAGCTTCCGCTTTTACGCGCGTCTTTCCGGTCGCGCATTGACCGCACGGCATGTGAACGCGCACCGCGCACGAGAGAGAGAGAGAGAGAGAGAGAGACGATGTTCCTTCGTAACGGTATAAACTTTTACCTCTTCGGGATCACCGGTGTAGATCAGTGACCGACCCGAGAGACCATCATCTCTAGATGACAATCACGGAAAAACTAATGTTTTGCTAAATAGATGCTCATAGATATATAATAAAGATTTGTTGGCTCACACTTCGCGAGAATAAATATTCATTAAATTCTAAAAATAGTCACTAAATTTTGAAATTTTTTATTGTTACGTTACAATATTTGCTAGTAATCTTAGATGTCTTTCACTGAGCGAACAAAAGAGATTTTCTTGAGATTTTTCTGATGAGCTTTTATAATTTAAAAAATGGAAAAAGGGATAGATCAAAGTAGCATTTTAGACGACAAGCGGCTTATCACTGTTCAAAAATTTCTGTCACGCAAATTGTACATTCTTTTCGTATAAAAATACGAACAGCAAAGTACATTTAGGTAAACGAGAATTTGTACAAAAGTACCAGTAGAATGAATCGTCTCAATATTTTAAATAATATTGAGAGAGATGTTTGTCAGAAAAACATGAATTTAAAACAATGAATTTAGAATCTTTTAGATGTAAAAGAAGTCGAGTTTGCGCGATAAATAATGAAAATATGAATTAATTTAATTGAAAATAATCATATTAGTTTATTCCTAACAGCATTGAAATATAAGAGTGTAATATCGATGCACAACATCTATTTTGCTTAGAAAGTATTGTGAAAATCACACACAGTCAATTAATGAAAAAATCAATCTTTAAATATATTATAATACACTTGAAATAATTTAAAAATATGTATAACGCATGAAAATTATTTAAGACACGTTTGCTGTAATAAATGGCAAATTTTTCTAGATATTTATCTTTTAAATAAAAACATGTAATCTCTATTAATCTAGGAATATTCTGAATATGACCGAAAATATTACATTCTTGTTCCACATTTCAAATTGCAAATTTTTGTTCTAAATTTTATATAGTCGAGAAACTGCATTTAAAGAAAAAGAATAACATATATACATTTACTGAGCAATACCGAATACACTTATTATCAGCGTAACATGTATGTACAAGTAAAATAAATCAGATGTATAAACAAATATTTTTTACACACAGGACGCGATCGTTCGCAAAATTTAATAAATTAGGCAAATTTTATTTTTAATTGTTTTATTAAGAAAAAAATAATAACGATCACGTATATACTTGAATAATTTTAAAATTACAATAAAATTAATTATAAAACGTAGATTATTATCTCTATGTGTTAATAATATATATAATATACATCAATGTTATAATAAGGAAACAATTATTACTCGACATAATAAAGAGAATTTTTTTTAAATCAAAAGAATAATAATATGTAATATATTTTTTGAAGTATTTTGTATTTTGTATCTTTTTGATTTCAAAAGAGATTTAAAGAGAGAGATTGTAAATGTGTTAGACTTTGTCGCGCACGTGTACGCAATATCGATAACCACGCTACAAGAGGTCGATAGTTTCATAAACAGACGTCGTCTCCTCTCTGAAAAAGCATTTATCGGAACGTCATCTCGTATGAGAGCAGAGGCGGGCGTGTGTGACTGTGACGCAATTGTTCCACGTGTCGCCTGTCAATTTATATCGAGCACATCGGTACTTGACGCGACGCCTCGTCGCATCCTCGCGAATAATTTCTGCAAATAATTCGTCACGATCGTGAAAGATCTCGAGTGTATTAAGCTCGTTCCTATCACGAGCGTAATATTCACTATATGTCTATTGCATTTTTTTTACCGTAATTTTAAACGGACTTTGCGGACATGAAAGAGTTTTAAGAAAGCTTTTACGTGAGTTTACGTCG